ATGCGTTCGATTCAGCAGTTCAGCGCAAGGGTAAAATGAACAATGTTAAATAGCTGTTTATTCACAAGTGTTTATTGCGCGGCTAAAGTGTCAGGTCATGTCAATCGATAGGAGATATCGTCAAGGAGCGAGCCTACCATTCACTGTGGGACTCTGGTTCTTCTAGGTCAATTATATCGGATGTAGGGTGCAAACAACTGATGGTATTGAAGGCAAGCAAAAAGACTGGGTGTGGCCATTATAGAGCATTTGATCCAGACTGACCGATTCCACCCGACTGCCTCTAATTTCCATTGAACCTTAGCATCAAACTACGTAGCCCTGGAAATGAGAGATACTGACGAGCTGTGTGCGACTTTGCTTGAGCACTTCTCATAAGTATCGGGCTAACACTGATGTTAATTACGATCTGCCGTTGAATAAAAAAACTTGACCCGACTGAAATAAGTTACGTGAGCATGCACTAAGCTATTTGCACAATGCCACATCGCTGCAGCAGGGCGTATGCTGCGTTCTCTCACAGCCTTCAGAATTGAGGTGATTATCGAGGACCCTGATGTCTATGCAGCGCCGCGGTATCGTCCATCGCCTCAGCATCTCATCTCTCGCTCACATCTCTCTCTCTCTCTCTCTCTCTATCGCTCTCATCCTCTCTCGAATCTCTCAATCTCTCTCTCTTTGCTCTCTCATCTCTCTCTCTTCTATCCGTCTCTCCTCTGCTCTCTCTCTAGCTCCTTTACTCTTATCCATTCTCTTCTCTCTCATACTCCCTCTCTCTCTCTCGTCTCATCCTCTTTACATCTCTCTATCTCTCCTCTCTCCATTCTCCCCTCTCTCTCTATCCCGCTTTTTCTTCATTAATCTATATCTCCAGCTCTCTCTCTTTCTCGCTCTCTCTCTAGTCGGTTCTCTATCAATCCTATCTCTCCGCTCTCTCATTCTCCCCCCCCCTTTCTCTCTCTCTCTCTCTCCCTTTTTCTTAATTAATCTATATCTCGCTCTCCTCTCTATCTCTCCTCTCTCTCTCTCTCTCTCTCTCTGGATTTGCACGCACGCTTTCTCTTTATCGTCTTTCTTTCTCCTCGCTTCTTCTCCTTCGCTACTACCCCTCACTGTGTTTCTGACCTTCACTTCCTCAATCTCTTGGTCTCTCTACGTATCTCTTTGCTGTCTCTCGTCTATTTTCTGTTGTGCTGGCCTTTATCTATCTCTATCTATAGGCTTTGTAAATGTATCCTGCTTTTGCTTCGCTTAACTCACCCTTCCTTGCGTATTGCTCTCTCTCTCTACTCTCTCTCTCGTCTCTCTCTCTCTCTCTCTCTATCTCTCTCTCTCTCTCTCCTCCTCTCTCTCTGCTCTCTGTATCGCGCTCGCTCTCTCTCTCTCGTCTCTCTCTCTCTCTGCTCTCTCTCTCTCTCTCTCTCGCTCTCTTCTCTCTCTCTCTCTCTCGCTCTCTCTCTCTCTTCTCCCCTCGCCTTCCCTCTTTTTCTCTCTTGACTGTCATCTCACCTATCTCTGTTCATTCCTCCTTTCCTTTCTCGCTTCGCCTCTCTCTAATCGATCTACTCTCTCTCTCTTTGCTCTCTTTCCCTTCTTATCTTCTCCATCTCTCTCCCTTCAGTTCAGATTCGCGTCTGACAGTTTTTTATCGTCTCATACTCCGATGTATATCTGGTTCATCCGCCCAACGATCCTAATGTCAACAGCTATAATAGCTCTCTCGTCTCTGGCGCTCGCTCTCTCTCTCTCTCTCGCTCTATCTCTCTCTCTCTCATCTCTCTCTCTTCTCTCTCTCTCTCTCTCTCTCTCGTCGTCTCTCTCTCTCTCTCGCTCTCGCTCTCGCTCTCGCGCTCTCTCTCTCTCTCCTCTCTCATCCGCTCTTTCTCTTCTCTCTCCTCTCATCTCTCTCTCAGCCTCTCGCTCTCGCGCTCTCTCTCTCTCTCCTCTCATCTCGCATCTCTCTCTCTCGCTCTCGCCTCTCGCGCGCCTCTCTCTCTCTTCTCTCATCTCATCTCTCTGCTCTCTCGCTCTCTCCCTCTATCTCTCGCTCTCTCTTCTCGCTCTCGCTCTCGCTCTGCGCTCTCTCTCTCTCTCTCTCTCTCTCTCTCGCTCTCTCTCTCTCTCGCTGCGTCTCTCTCTCTCTTTGCGGCATCTCTCTCCCTATTACTTAATTTATTATTTATCTCTCTCTCTCCTCTCTCTCTCTCTCTCTCCACAACGCTTCTCTACTCTCTTCTCTCTCTCTCTCTCTTCGCTCTCTCTCTCTACTCTCTCTCCTCACACACCACGCTCTCTCTCCTCGCTCTCCTCTCTCGACTCGCGCTCTCTCTCTCTCTCTCTCTCTCTCTCATCACTCTCTCTCTCTACTCCCTCAGTATCGTATCTCTCGTATAAGTATACGCTATGGCTAAGTTACACAGTAGCCTAGTTCAGAATGATCAAATGAACGATCTAGACCATCTCGTTGCTTAGGGTCTTGCTGGATTAGACCATGTCACGGAGCGCCTACTGTCACAAAAGCTGTATGTATTTGCGGTCCACATCGGCCATGCCTGGGATGAGGCAGCTGTGTGGACTGCGGATATGCATGGCTGTGCACATGTATTCACAGGGCTTGAAGCGTTGGTCATAAATATGCAATGCTACACTAATACGAAATCTATTTTACTACCACATTACTATGTTATCTATACAGCTCTTTCACCTAATTGATGCCGACAGTTTCCTTGTAAATTACGTCCCCAAATCTACGTTAAACCAATACGCTGAGCCGGGCGACATTGCATACTCGCGGCTCCCTGTTGCCGCTTACACTAATATAGTATAGTAGTATTAGTTACACGTAATACTTATATATTCGTGTACGCGTGTCCAAACAGTGGTGAGCGCGTCAGTCTGCACGTAGGATTTGGACGGATTTACAGCGAAACTAAACTGTCGGCAATAATAGGTGAAAGAGAGTATAGAAACATTAAGAATTTGGTAGTAAATAGATTTCGTATTTAGTTAGCATTATATTTTATTGAAACGCTTCAAGTGCCTGTGCATGTATTCGCACACACTTGCACGGCTGAGAGCTTTATTGAATGTTGAGTGAATCATCATAGCAGTTTCTGTGTTTGACGAGATCCCCCGCCAGCAATTAAAACAATGACGTGAATAGGCAGACGTTTTAATATTTTAAAACGCATCGAGAGAGATTATTACGTTAAGACGTTCGCAGACGTGTAAAAATCGGTGTACGCGCGTCCGACGCTAAATTTTCCACGGACAGAACACTGTATGTAGATGTAGGTTATAAGTGACGTTAGTAATTTTATGCACTAGTGTGAGAGCCCGCATGCACTCTTTCCTCGTTTCTGACTGCGGGTCATTGTACTCGTCATCGTTGACTGCGTGTCGATACATCCGCATGTCTGTTCTGTGATAGACTGTCTAGCTTTCTGATAGCATCTAATATAATATAATATAAATAATATATATATATAATATATATATATATATATATATATATATATATATATATGCGCAGTATTCATTATATTGGATGTTGTGGATAAAGTGTTATTTACTTCTGTATGTACGTGTCTGTCAATGGGGAACTTCGATTGTGATAGGTGTAAGACTATTTACAATCTCTTCACAGGTGTTAGCAGACGTGATGTACCTTATTTTTAGAGTGTAAAGAAGAGTTACAAAGGAAATTTTATGCCTAAAGTGTGATTATCTTATAATATATCAATTTGATAGATCACAGAAATTATGTGTTTGTAGTATATACAAAATTGTCTAACATAGTTAAAGGTGGGTGTATGCATTGGCACTACGACTTGGGATGCTGCAGCACCAACTGGTCAGTTGAGTTCCTAGTAGCCAGTCGTTTCTTGAAGGAAAAGACGAGAAACAAGTATATATACAAACTGTGCTTGCTATAATGGAGCATCTTCTGATTGGTGTTAACTATATCAAATTAGCCCAATCAATAATGATTTCAGCAATTTCGTAAGTGGTGCAATCCAGGATACATTGTTAACATAATAAATTTGTATGTTACACATGAGGTATGCAGCAAATGATCAATCACTATAGCATCCTTGCGATTTGATTGCACGCTATTTCATCATTCTATTATCAATAATAGCATTATCTTGGTAAGGAAATTCATTAATTGCTGTACACTCATACAATCAATAGTGTTCACTCTACAGTTAATACTCCTACTAGCTTTCTTGAATTATTTGTGGCTAGATATTATTTTTAATATAGATCGAGGGAACTATATATTTGGTAGGTGAAACTACGACAAGGATTTCTCACTCTCAGGATGTAAGCAATATCACACGTTATGCCATTGATGTATGCAGGAATTTTGCACACACTTTAATTATTAGTTGCAGAGATACTCGCAGAATCAATTATGCATCATTTTTTATATGGACAAGTCTTCGAACTTCTAACAAGTGAAGTTGCTGTCAAATATTATCAAACATTATCAAATGCTAAGTGAAGTTGTCGTTGAGTATTATGGTGAATAATGAATGTGAAAATTAATAATTAAAAGTAGAAGAATAACAGGGAAATGCGTATGTGATGCGTAAGATTAAATCAATATATATAAATACTAAATAATCAAAACCAACATTGAGCTTCGTGGATACACTAAGTTACTTGCCCATTTATGTCCACACGAATATTGTTGACTGTGTTTTGTGAGTATTTACTGCTTACACTTTTTATGTGATCACCATCATGATAATGGAGTAAAGAAAGCGCATCTATACATAGTGTCCTACACGGGTTCTGTGATGGTTTGTTCAAACGGATATACATGCCCGGGTACAGCCCTATATTTTATGTATTGATAAGGTTAGTAGAGACAACTGACATATAAATGTTTACATGCCCTACATATTTTTAACGGATGAAATGTGTGATCAGATTCC